ATATATTAATTAAATAAATTGATTAATAAAAAAATATTTAATTATATATTTAATAGATATAAGTGATAATATAATAATAATAATATTTTATAAATAATTATTAATTGCATGTTTTTTTATTAATATCTGATTATCAATTAACCCAATTGATTAATTAACACATCAATATCCACCATATTCAATTGATCCTATTTTTTTCATATTAAATATTTATTATTATATAAATACATAAAATCTATTTATGAATTATATAATATCAAAAAATTTTAATCTTTTTTCCCCTCCACGAATTACAGTTTGCTCAATACTCACCAACCTCATGCTTGTTGCAGACGAAATGTTAATTATAGAAGCAATTATTCATAAATTTTATTAACCTTTATTTTTTTTCAAAATAAATTAGATGAAATTAGTGAACATGCATATTAAATTAATACATATTAAATTAATATAATTCAATTTTTTTTTTTTTTACTTCAACAAACTTGTAAAGCAACTTCTTGCAACTTGTATATTATCTTATAACTGATGTAACGTTGTTAGATATCAATAGGGAACTTATTCAATTGCTTGTTTTTTTATATTTATATTTTTTTGTTAATAATTTTATATGAAAAGCAAGAAAATCGTTCAAATTTTTATGTTGTTCATTAACTCGTTTAAATACTCATTAGATTAATATAAATAAGGAAAGTATGAACATACATGTGAATGCTTGGCTCAAGCTCAAGCCGAACATAAACAACTTGTAAGATAACCAAACGAAGTCTAATCCTTGTCAGTTAGCTTGACTATAGCTCTAGCCATCATAATCTTCATCATTCCAAGTTAACTTTGATGCAGCAAGGTTAAATAAACTCATATGATGTACTAGGAAAGGAACAAATAAGCAGAAAGATGAAATAGAGGAAACACAATATTTAAAAAGAGTAAAAAGCCAGTAGTAATACCTTTAGAGCATTATCAAAAAAAGGACAGTGGAAGATAGCCTGCATAATGGCTGAATTAACACTGTAACCTGTTCCATGAAAAATTTTCATTTCTCCATAGCCTTCCAAAACCTGTTGGATGAATTTTAACAAAAAAAACCCCTTGAGGTATCCATAATACAGGCCCAAATAGATAAATGTCAAAAAAGTCATTTTATATCTTAAACTGAGATATCACATAACAGTAACCTGCCTTTATAACTTCTGATGGCTTGATATCCTCGACTTTACCATCAGATGTATATAAAATACTTGCATGCGTTTTCTGCAGAATCAAAAGTAAAAGCATGTTTAGACCAAAAAAGTATTAAAAAAAAACAAACTGAAGAACAGTCCGAGGAAGATAACATACAGAAATCATACTTGAGATGGTGTTCAAAGCTATGAAGACAGTATTATTAGCACTTTCTAAGGCCTCCGCAAGAGTCCCAATTTCAGCTTTAAGCAAAGAATCTGCTTCTACTACTGAGAAAAAGGATAAAACAAGAGACCAGTAAAAGCAAATGAATCTGCGACACTTACGTCCAGCGGTTGTAAGAATTAATTTTAATATTGCAGAAGAGCAGAATCATGCTATAAAGCAAGTCAAGAAGATAATCATTCTTGGTAAAAAAGCAATTTGGTACTAATTTAATAGCACAAACAGGCAGGCAAACTTAACTCTCTACTCCCAGTCAATCTCCCAACCTGCTACCACTCCATCCCAACCTACTATCGACAATTCAGCATTCCAGCTCACCCTCCACCATCCCACCAAACACCATAACCAACTGCCAACCCACAGAAAACAACTCCAGTTAAATGTTGTGTATGTTATTATTTCCCTTTCTGTGTGTTGGTTGTAAGCTTTTTTAGTAATAATATTTGCTTGCTCATCATTATCATTTGGAATCAGAGCTAGTCTAACTCTAGTCCTATCCTAGAGCTATCGAGTCTCTCACTACCTAACCCAATCTCCACACAAAAAGCCTTCCCATCATCAATTTTCCAAATCAGCCCCCAAAATTTTTTCTTTCCCATCCTAAATGCACCCTGTGCACTCTCTTTCACCTCAAAAACCTAAACCCTTGCTACGCTAGACACTTGTAGAGACCTAATCCGGAAGAAAAGATTCAATGTTGCATATGAAAAATCTGTAAAGATATGTTCAGTAACATTTTTTTTGAAAAATATAAAACATGAAATCATCCAACTACAACAGACATGCCGCCTTCAAGAGGAAACTATCCAAAATCGTCACACAAACTCGATTCGATTCCAGAAATGAAGAACTACTAACCTGAAGTCAAGATTTTAAAGGTAGATTCGTCATATTTTGATGGTGACATGGATCCGGACAAATTCATTGAGCCACTCTAGACAGTGGAACGTGCCTTAAGTATCAGAATATCCCACCAAACAGAATGGTGAAACTAGTTGCCGGTAAATTAAAAAAGAAAGCATATCAATGGTGGAAGAATTTGAAAATACTTTGACGGTAAGATAGTGAAGAGTAAAATTACAATCTAGTTTTAAAATTAAATAATAGATGTAACGCTAGTACCTACCAGTTCTTTAAAAAAAGATGTTCATAACCTAGCTTAAAAAGTGAGGCATAACTTCATCAGTGATCTTCACATCCAGAATCAAGTAGAAAGAGCACACATAACATGACATCCAAGCCAAGCCCGCTTGAGAAGAAACAAATTCAGAGAGGAGAACATGTGGAGCCAACCAACATTCCCAAATTCGTCCCAGCTAGGAAGTGTTTCAAGCACCACAGATTTGGGCATATTGAATCAGATTACCCAACCAAGGGAATGATCACTTTCAGTGAAAAGGGAGCAATTGAAAAAATAGCTAACATAAGAAAGGATGAAGATGTCAAAGATGAGCCTCAGCTTCAAGGCGACAAGAAAGAGATGCTAGTGATACAAGATGAGTCTGCTAGAGAGATTTTAGTAGGATTAATCAAGGTTATTCAAAAAGAAAGTGAGTCTAGGAAGCCAATACCTCAAAAGGGACAACCCCTGTTAACAAAATTGCAAGACATCCTGACTGATAGTTCACCTGCTGGGTGGTTACAAGTAAAAGTGATCCAACATGTCAGAAATGAGAAGCTTGTGAGTACTTCTGAAAAGCTATATGGAATTATTCGGATATTAAATTTAGTTCAACAGTGTACTCACCGACAGATGAACAGATAGAAGGGATGAACCACAACTTTAAAAATTATTTTAGGAGCTTGGTGGGAAAAAAATTCTACAATGGAATATAGGTCCTATCAAATAAAAAAAGAGGCCTCTCTTAAGTGGTTGCTATTGAGAGTTTCCCAGCCGACCACAAATCTCATTCCCGAATTAGTTCCTACCGGCGAATTAGTTTACTAAATGAGCCCTACATATTACAAGTTGATATACAGAGTACGAGTTGATAGGGCAAATTACAGAGTCAATGGCTCCAGAGTTACTTTATGAAATTCTATATATATATGCAGCTCTAGCTTAGGTTAAGCCAAAAGAAGATTGATACTTATTCCATAATGATGTCTTTTAAAATAACACCCTACAAGAGTGACTTTCTGGGAAGTTACAGTAGCTTCACCACCTTCATCATGGTTAACCTAACACTATGCTACGAGGAAACAGAACCTTCCACGGAAGAAGTCAAAGCTCCCATATTGACCTCATTTTGCCACATAGGACTTGTACAGATATCACCCCTTGGTCTCGCGCAGTAAAATTAGCTAAAAAACAACTTGCCATTTTTTTGGCCTGGTGTGGTCACGCTAGACAGGTGTGACCATGCGCGAAAGTTCCTCAGTATGGTCACGCCTGGCCTAGATGTGACTGCGCACAGAAATTCCTCAACATGGTCACGCCAGCCCTGGACATGGTGACGTGACCACACCAGTTGACACACCATCGGTCCACAGATCAGGCAACGAACAATCGCATTGTTTTGTTGGCAGCGATCTATGGCTTACTAACCATTCGATTGATCCCAGTCGTCGATGCGCCACCCAATCGGACGGCTCTGGAGGACTCTACCACTGTCTTCTCAGCCTATAAATGGGTGGCGGTCGCTCTCAACACAAGACACACACAGACTAAGGGACTACACTGCTTCAAAGAAGAAGTGGGACAAAGTCTCCGACAAGCCACCTCCGCCTCCGCTCTGATAAACCCCTGTTCTTTTCTTCTCTAATTTAAGAATTTATTTTTCTAACTTTAGTTAAGCTAGGTTAACTCAATAGCCTTGGGTTAGGCTTCGGTTTGGTCCTGACTCAGATCACAACCCGAACCCAGCCTAACCCTAACTCACTTAGTTAAACTAAAACCTAGCCCAAACCCTAGCCTAACCTAGCCTAAACCCTAACCAAAACCCTAGAACTTACCCAACCCAAATCTAGCCCAAACCCTAGACCCCCAGATTTAGCCTTGGAAAGTGTTGTCAAGATAATGTTTAAAAGCCTGCTAAAAATATATACTTCAAGTTGTCGGAACCTAATAAATCAGATAAGGTAACCACAGATTTCTCGGACACAAAATTGAAGAATGCTTTTCTTTTAAGGATTGGCTGGAGAGGAACCACAAGAACGGTACGGTCATCATTCCCAAAGAATAATTGAAGGAACCAACACAAGGTTCCATCAAGGTTCTCTTGGTGAAAAAACAGAAGCGGATAAGCCAAGTCAAAAGGAAGAAGGTTTGAAACTTGTTCTGTCAAAGACCGCCAAGAAGATCATCAAAAGAGTTCAAAGTCTATCAGAAACAACTCATAAAAGAACTCAGACGTCTAACGTTTCTCTAGTTCTTAAGAGAAAAGAAGCAAAGAAACCCACACTGAATTCGACAACACTTGAAAAACAAGTTTAAGAGAAAGAAATTATATATAGAAGTTTCTAGGACTGTGGAGAGTTTTATTCTTAGGATAGTTGTTTCGGGCGAAGATCCAGTGACCCTGGCAGCACTAACTCTGTATGACTTATATTTCTATCACTTTGAGATTATAAATAAAATGAGAGTGGTTCTAAGTTTATCTTATCTATTTTTGATGAATCATTATCGATCGACTAAAGTAATAATTTTAACAGTGGCGAAAATCCTAATAATTCTAATAATCCTGATCTCAAGTTATAAAGGAAAATATTAATGAAAATGACAAATGGTTTTCTGATAGAGATGTCCCTGTACTCAATCTTAAAGGTATGCCAATTAGAAATGAACTAGAACCTTCAGATACTCAAGAAACTCAAGAAGCAATCTCAGACATCATGAAACACTCTACGGATGATTCCGCAACAAAAGTTTTGGAAGTTAACCTTTGAAGCAGTAAAGAACTCCAACCATGTAGTGCACTCCACGTGAAAACCACAAGAATCAATAAATAAAATTCTTCCACGGCGCTGCCACAGGATGTTCCTATCCAGGATGAGCCTGTGAAAGTTGCTCTTAAAGTTGGTTATAATGCATTATCCCACCAAAGAAAATTGTCGATCAAGCTCAGTATTTATGACGCCCATGTAACATCCAAAAGAATTGAGGGAGTCATTAATCAAAGCACTACAAGATCCTGAGATTTGTATGAAACATCTGAAAGAGAAGGATACTTTTTCCATGAAGGTCCCAAACTGGCATTCACAGATTATGACCTTCTACTGGGAACAGCCAACTATAAATATCTCGGTTGAAGTTGAACGATTTAAATTATCCAGAGTTCTTGTTGATCCAGGTGCATATGTGAACATCATGAATCTAAAAACACTTGCATGCCTCTAAGTGGACACACGCATACTTTCCTCGGACAAGATGTTACTAAGAGGATTTAATCAGAACGGTGAAAGAGCACTCACGTCAGTAACAATGTTATTTAAGATTGCAAATTTTCAAACCGAAGCAAAATTCTATATCATTGACTCAGATACATGTTTCACCGCACTTATTGGAAGACCTTGGCTCCATGAAAAGTAAGAACAACTTTGAATTTATAAGAGATTTATAACAATGTATCAAATACTACCACAATGGCATTGAACATTGCATCATAAGAGATTTATAACAATTCTCTATACATAAACTTGGAATTTATGAAAACGCGGCCTATTATATTCCAAAATATCAAATTATCTTTTCTGGGAAATTTTTAAGTAAGAAAAAAATAATAGAGAAGAAATAACCATACAAAGAAAAGTAATTGTAAAAGAGGATGATAAAATAAAGAACGAATGAAAAGAAGAGGATCAAAAGAAAGCATAAGAAAGAACAGGAAATATCCACTACTTATGAAGACGAATCCTAAATTAAAGTTAAGCACTCCCAAAATTTGAGAAGAGATAAAATTGAAGGAGATTCCAAAGTAAAACAGAGTTTGGAGAGCAGAACCCCTCCTATGTATATCGGCTTTGAATCCAGCTCGAAGGATGAGGCGAACATTGTAAAGCGGTCTGCTATTCCTTGGAAAATATCCCTAGAAAAAGATGATAT